GTAGTGTGAAAGCAGCCATACGTACGTATATAAAGCAAGTGTGTCTAGTTTAAGAGTAACAGGTATTCATTGTACTATTTTTTACTATTTTTCCATAGGTTTGAAAGTTTTAAAAATAAAAAGCTGAAAAATTACTTAAGGTAAGCATTATGTCCTCACTTAATCCTCTCAAATACTTCATTTTTACTACCCATTTCTACTAATTTAAGATCATAATAATATAACTGTTCCATAAACCTAGAAACTATGATAATATAGTTAAGAGATGCAAAAAATCTATTGCCCTCCTAAAGCATAAAGCCTCTAAATTAAGTTATATATAACTGGAATCATTGTCTAGAAACACTGCTCTTCAAAGTACATCTAAGACTAGTAAGTCCCATGAAAGCAGTGATTTGGTCCCTTTTGCTCATCATTGTGTCTCCAGCCTCTAGACTGTGTGGTACAAAGTGGGCATTGAGTAATAGTTATGGAATTAAGTAATTAGTTGCATTGTTAAAACAGAATGTTAAGAGATGCCAAACCATAAAGACTTTTTCATTTTCACTTATTTCCATTACCAACTTTCATTGTATGTTTTTAAAGCTTTGTATATATAAAAACTCAAATTAGAATAAAACATGTCCAATAATTTTTAACATTCAGGTCTAAATAAATAGTTATTATTAAGTAAATACTTATTCTTAAATTGACCTAAATACAGTACCTGAACTTTATGTTATTTTATTCTAAAATTCAGGTGATCACAACTATTCTATAATCCTATAAAAATCTATAAAATGTGAATTTTCACAATTTGCCACTTTTGAATAGGCCCCTCCTAACACCCCATTACATATCACTCGGCTTTGAACCTATGGTGTGCATGTAAAGAAATTCAGAGCCACTGTCCCCTATTTTCTTAATAGGCTACATTTCCTTTCTTAGTCAAAGATACCCCCTCACATTTTAAAATAAAATTTATACATTTATAAAATGGTTATACCCTCCACAATTAAAATAGGAAAAATATCCAAATTTAGCAGGTATTTCATTGTTACTTATTATAAAAGCAAATAAGTTGACCAGTAGAGGGCACTCATTTGCAAGGGGGGAAGAGCTGGTCACAGCCTTAAAGAAAACTTCCTTAACAAAACTGCTGTGACACCTTATTTTAAAAACAGAACATTTTGATAGAATGCTAGAGTAAGCTAACATATATCATATATAACTGGTTTAGAAAAGGTAAAGTTTAAATCTATTCTATGTTAGAAAATCTAACATAAACCTTATTCAGGGACTTGAGTTTAAAAATTTAAGGCTGTTTAAAGCTATGTGTAACACAAATTAAGGTCTCAACCTCAGCACTACTGACATTTGGGCCAGGCAATTATTTGTTGTGGGGCTGTCCGTTGCACTACCCACCACAGGTGCCAGAAGTACCCTCCTCAAGATGTGACAACAAAAATATCTCCAGATATTACCAAATGTTCCCTAAAGGCAAAGTCACCCACCCACTCCTCATTGATGACTACTGATACATATACAGAAAACCAGAAAAATAACAACTTGCAAGTTTACACAATGCTTTTTTAACACCAGTCTTCAATACTGTTAAATATTACAAATTTTCTCTCTATAATCCAAATACCTTATTTAGCAAGTAATATAAATTTCATGGAAAATTAATAAATTAACATGAAAAAATAAAAAATAGAGAAACTGATAAACTGTTATTATCTCGGTGATAATAGCTCAGAGCATTAAAGACAGAACAAATCAATCCAATGATTAACTTATTCTTCCATACTGAGTAGGAAAACTTTTTCATCAAAGAAGGGCATAAAGACTGGAGTAAATTCTAAGTGTCACATTAACAGAAGTATGCAGATGTCAATGAATTAGAGCCTGGAAAAAAGTACTATTTTCTCTATCTATTTTTATTGGTATATTATATCCAGTAGATACATACAATATATATTTGCTAACTGATCAACTGATCATTCTGATTTCCATGTCTGTAACAACATGCATTTTTTTAAGACAAGATTTTTCTTTTTCCATCAAATTTTCCCTTGCTAAACACATCTCACAAAACATGTTTTCATAATAGCAAGAGATCTCTAAACTATAAAAACATATCTTATTTCTAGCCTGGTATTACATTTAGGAGATTGAGTTTTTAACAATCTTGCACCACTAATGGAGTATTTCATTATCTCTGAACTCTTTGATGAACTTCATAAAAAATAAAGGTAAAATCTTTGAGAATAGAAGTAAAGGTGACTATCATGTGCACAGCCTCAAATATAAACATGCTCCAAAATTGTGCCATTCCTATCTAATTCTGTATCACATCAATGCCATTAGATACTATGTAAGATAAATCTGAATCAGCCTCCAATATTAAATATTTATTTGCTTGAAGGTAATTTTTCACTTTTAAAAAGTTATACAAGGATTCAGTAGAAATTCCATTTAACTTCGTCTCAGAAAACTTAAAATGCCACCACTTACTAGCCAAGTATCCTTAGGCAAGTTACCACCTCTCAGAGACCATTTTTATCTATAAAATGAAAGAAACAATGACCACCTTCCTTACCTATCTCATAGTACACAAATCTTTGCAAATTCTAAACCACCAGAAAATATGGTATTACATGATTTTTAATTTTTTTTCAATTTCTTTCCATTTGTTTTAATGCAGGTAAACTGATGAGAATTCCAAATGTGCAAAGTCTATGTCCTCTCTCATTTTCTCTGATCTACGTTATTCACCAATCAAAACCTAACAGCAGCAGTGATATCCCCATCCTCCTTTTTAACTTTTTACAAAAACATCAAGTCAGTATTTTTGCTTATTTATTAAAATAAACTAATAATTTCTCTTGTAGTTGAACTACACACCAAGAATCTAATGTGTCAGTTGCCTCAGAGACAATCTCTGTATGATACCTTTTCCCAGGTGGCTACACAGGTGAGGGAACATCAGTTTCAAAGTTCACAGGTAATCAATGTACCCGGAGTCAAGTCTTCTGGTTTGACAGAAATAATAATCAGATTATGGGTTTGAGGTTATAAACTTTTTCTACCTTCCCCCAAAATAAAGGATTGACTTTTAGCTTTAATTCTCTAATATTTATATTGCACTATAACAATTGTGACCAAAAGGTTTCTTAACCTATTTTATCACATGATCATACATAGTATAGCACTCATGACCTCTGGTAGGAGACAGTATAATGGAATTCCTCAGATTTTTAAAGAAGATGGCGGGTACTTCTGCTAAAACCATCTTTCAAAATCCCAGAAACACTTTTATGCTTAACCTGAATTCTATTTAAAACTTCCTTTTACTTCTGATTAAAATGGTGAAGTACGCCAAGTAGCCTTGGCTTTAAATATGAGTTAACTACTTAATCCTCCTGGAAGACAAAAAGAAAAGAAACCAAAATCATCATGCAGCACAGAACTGACTTGTCAAGAGAAAATATAGAGACCATCATATGGGTGGTCCACTTTAATTAGACTCTTCCCCTTTACTGCAAATTCTTAAACTTGGAAGCCAAGTAAAAGTTGCTTCTCTGTTTAAATCATTTGCAAATAAGCGTTATTTCTTTATTTTTTCCTGCAATACTAAAAATATTTGACATTTCCTTATAAAACTTATCTAATCAATCCTCAGTTCTAAATTGCATGAACATCTTCCTAAGGGCACCAAAGGCCTCAGAATCTACCTCAGTGCAGTCAAAGTGTTTCAAGATATTACACAGCTTGGGACTCAGAGAAAGTTCGGGGAAATTTTTCAGAGCTGATTTAAATAACTGGTATGTCAGACCTAGAATAAAAGCTAGAGGGCTAGGACTGCTTAACCAGGGATAAAGAAGTCTAAGAAATAATCTAACACCCTAAGTCTATTTCAAAGATGAGGTGATACACTTATTTCCGTCGCCACTGATGTTGAACTTAACATGAAAATTCAGATGATGCATAAAATACGAGAATTCTAGAAATGAATTAACAAGGACAGTTGTGCATCCCTCCTGCAGGTCTATGGGATTAAATTAATCCTTATCTGCTGGATACTACCTGACCTCTCAAGGTCTCTTTCAGGTCTTTATTCTATCATTTTGCTGTTGACTTTTACTCTGAAAATTATTTATTAATCAATTTGCAATAAAAACAATTCTAACATTTCCTTGAGTAAATTTTAAAAGGGCTGCAAAACAAAGGTAAGGATTGGTAGCAGTACCTTCATATATCATCTGACACACACACACACACACGCGTGCACGCAAAGAATGTGCTTATAAAAATATATCAGGTGAGCCAGCCAGTGTGGCTCAGAGGACTGAGCATTAGTTCCATGGACTGAGAGTTCCTGGTTAGATCCCCAATCAGGGTGCATGCCCCGGTTGTGGGCTCCATCCCCAGTAGGGGGCGTGCAGGAGGCAGCCTATGATGTTTCCCTCTCACTTCTATGTTTCTATCTCTGCCTTCCTCTCTCTCTAAAATATCAATAAAAACATATTTAAAAAAAAAATACATTAGATAGCTGTAGGTTCTCCACTTCAATATGAAGAGAAAACAGGGAACTACAACTAAGTTTTTTAATCAATCATCAAATGATTACATTTCACCAGTATAATTCAACTCTAAGATAAAAAATAATAGCCACAGTTTTTAAAAATTACTATTAGGTACAGATAAGATGCAAATTCACATTTCACTCTCTCACTAAACTCTGAAATACACTTCCAATCAAAATGCACATACACTGACACAGAAGGAATGCCATGAATCTTGGGCTTCTCCCGAGAGAAGGACTCTCCATATCTATGATTATGTATAACTTCAGAGTAAAGCCTTTAAAGCCTAAGTACATTTCTGATAACTTAGTAAAATTATTTTCAGTATAACTGTCTTGTAATGAGTAGTCACAAAAAAATGATAAAACTTTTTTTGTACCCAAAAGATGGGCCTGTACAAATCAATAGGCATAATATTAAAACAAGATTTACCTCTATTGTAGGATCATATTCATCCACAAAGTGATTCTGAATTAGCTGTATCGTCAAGGCACTCTTGCCTACGCCACCAGCTCCGACTACCACAAGTTTATATTCAGTCATTTTCAGCAGGCCTTACAATGAAAATAACGAAAATGTGACTAAGTTAGAACGTGTCACACACGAGATTAATAGAAGCTAAACACTCTATCAATACCTTTTAATGCAAATTCACCTTGATATGCAAAATTATTTCAAAATACCTCACAAAATTCAATGATAAAACTCCAGTTGACTACAGATGTGTATTGTAATGAATCACATTATATTTACAAACTCCCCCATTCAGAAATGCATTCAGACTACTAAATTCTTTTCTTATATTCAGGTTGTTCTATCTAAACAGCAAGTCTGTTGTTTTGTAGCAGTTAATGGCTCTCAAAGGAACAAGCCATGACTTTACTCAGTACAAGTGCTCTATACCCTATGGATATACCCACACAAAACTGTTGATGGGCTCTCTCTCCTGGATGGTTATGGCCCCTAAAAGTTACAAGTGGATATGCACTGAGTGTCTTTGTTGGAGCCAAATGCTAGAGAAAACTTTTAAAAAGCATCTTCATAGTTAGTTCTCCCGAATAGTTAGCAAGAATCAGACGGGGTGTGTTTGGGAGGGGGGGATTGGAAGGACTGTCAAATAAAGCTCACTGTGAAGTGAGAAAATAAAAATTGAGACACCAAAACAGACAAGGACAATATCTGATGAACATTTTAATCTGGAAAATATCTGCTGGGGAAAATAATGGTATAAAAGGTAAGAGAACTTTGAGAGCATCGAAATATTCAGTATAGTTGATTTAATCATCAATCACAATAAATAATCCTATATTAATGCTGAAAAATAGTACTTTGCACACAAGAAAAATATAATTATATATTTAAAATTAATCACTTCTTTTAATGAGAAAAATTTAAGAAGATGTAAGTGACTAGTTCTCAGTAATACACGTGACTTTTACTCTTGCATCTCATACATCATCTCCCAACAGTAGCAATATTGACAACTTGTAAGGTTAAGAGTACAAGAGAGAAAATGTTTTTCAGTCAGTTGTTTCAAACTTTTTAAAATAAAATGAATTCATTTAATTTTATCTCCTTTCACTCAACAACTACACATTATTACAAATAAGGAACTGCAGAAAGAATGGCAGTAAACACACAATTTATTATAAGTAGTTCCAAATTAATCAAATTAATGAATGTGCAGATAGATATAAACACTACATACAGGTAGCATCCTATTTACTGAAGATCAAGAATTATCCAAATAGGCACAAAAAAATAAAAGATAAATATGGTTTTCCAAATGATAACATACTAACCACCCCCTTACCCTATTCCTGAGCCCTCTCACAAAGGGTAGACAGGCTAGACAACTGCTGTTATCAGAGAGTAATATTACAGCTCCCTAGCCTACTCCATGCCATATAGCCTTACTTGTTGTTGTCCAGGGCCACCACCTTGGGAGCCACTATAAACACATACCTTATTCTGTTTGCCCCCACTTTTTATTCCAAATACAGGCTATAGCAAATGGGACAGATGAGGAGAATCATACCAAATGCATCCTTGTCCACCAAACCCCAAAAAACAATTTAGATACCTAGAACAGTAGCTCTCAAAATGTGGTCCAGGAACCTGTTAGGATTCCTAAAGCTTTAGGGGGAAGAGGGTCCAAGAGGTTAAAAGCTGTTTTCCAAAAAAATTCTACAATGTTGATCACCCTTTCTACTCTTGTTCTTTCACAAGTGTACAGTAGAGTTTTCCAGATGTGTGATCACAACAGACTGAATGCAGAAGCAGATATAAGCATCCAGATGTCTACTGTCATATAATTAAGATTTGAGAAAAAGTTAGACAATGCCATCCTTCTCACTAATTTGTTTTGAAAAAGTTATTTTTCCTAAAAATGCTATTTATGTTACCAAATAATGGGCTTCTTGTTTCCAGTGTAAATGAATTAGTAAATGTTTAAAATTCTCAGTTTTTATTTCTGTGGTGGTAAATATTGATGGACCCTACGTTAGGATCTTCGATAACTTTGAAGAGTATAAAGGGATCCTTACAACCAAAAAGTTTGCTAGCCTAGAAGATCCTGTGGACAGATACTGGATTAGAGCTTAGTTTTATATACATGTGTAAACTCTGAGAGAAACACACCTTTTGGTCTACTTGTTTATGAGTGGTTGTTTCTGGGGGAAAAAAACAAAACAAAAACCTTAACTGGATTATAAAATCAAGTAATCGTTAAGTCCACTAGAGAGAACCGGGTTCCCAAGGATGCTTACTGAAGATCACATGCCAGAAGGAGACCCCTCACCCAAAGCTACAAAAGCTAGCAAGGGGTGGAAATGGGACCAGAACCCAACATCTTGTTAAGGGGAAAAAATATCATTTTTGTCATAAAACGGAATTATCATCTCATCTATCTCTTAAAACCAAGTATGCCTGTGGATGGCTACAGTCTCAAAGCAAGCAGTATTGGTATCAACCATATTTGATGTCTATGTTCGAGTCAGCATTTTGGACCAGCATTTTGGATCTCGCATACGGTTGATTCTGAGATAATTACTATGAACAGACTTTTTCCCTTTACAATTTTTTTAAATGACTTTTTCCATTACAAATGTAACATATATATGGTGTAAAAATTAGAAATTACCTCTCTGTTTTGGACCCCTTGTTTTGATGAGTATCAAGATTTAAGGTTAGTTTAGGATTTCAGCTATAGCATGCACCTGCCTAAGAGTATTTCAAGCTGTTGGTTGGAACATTGCTACAATTAACTCCTCCTGTAAGTCGGTTTAAAATTTTTTTGTGAGTGCTGTTTATGAGTACTGTAATAACTCTTGGGATGAGGGTAAAATCTGTAAGGATGGAGGTAATATAGAAGAGATGAGGAAAAGGCCAAGTACTAGCAAATTAAACTTCAAGGATGATTTTCCCTATTACTGTCTACACTCAACTAGCAAGGGAAAAGCCCTGCTTCTGCTCTGCGGATTTTCTGCGTTGTGTTTTAACTTGGCAAAGCAAAACAGACCTTCTGGGATTAACTTTTTCCTTTTCACTATGTCACAGGCTTTACATTGTAGGGTGTTGGCCACCTGTTCTTCCACCACCATCTCTACCTCCTCCTTTGTGGCCACAGCAATGTCACAGCCCGTGCATGGGGGAGGGGAAGCAGTCAGGAACTCGGCTGCAGATGCATTTTTTCCCAAACACAATAACCTCAAACAGTGGTCTCTAAGCACTTTCCTATGCTCTTCCAAAACGCGACCCCCTCCCCAACTTATATATCCATCCCCTTACACCCTGATAAGGACCACTACCCGCCCGGTCTGCGCTCGAGGGAGAAGTTTATTCCTCCGTCCTAGAGATGCTAGATGCAGCAGAGAAGGCAGCCACCGAGGCAAGCCGAGCGCTGGGAAGGGAGGAAGAGGTGCGGGAGCCGGGCAGAGAGAAGGAAGGACGACGAGGGGGAGGGGAGACGGGAGCGCTACGGGAGTAACCTCCACCGCACCCGACCGCCCGAGGGGCAGCCCGCCGGCCGCGAGTTTCTGCCCGGCCGCCTCAAGCCGCGGCTCTCGGGGAGGAGGAAGGAAGGGGTTCCCCGTCCAGGAAGCAGCACAGCGGCGACCGCCTCTAGCCTCACCCTCCTCAGCCCCGCACCGCCTAGTCCTCACTCCCCGCGCCCCGCGTCCCCGCTGCAGACCCCCCAAAGCGACCTCCCGCCCGCCCGCCCGCCCGGGCTCCGCGCCCGCGCCCGCGCCCCCTCCCCGCCCTCCGGGACCCCTAATTCATTCACTCGCCGCCGGCCCCGCCCGGCGCGGCCAGGAGGGTCGGGTCCAGCGCAGGGGCCCAGGAGGGGAGGTCCGCTCGGTACCTCGCTCCCGCACCTGGGAGCCGCCGAGCCTCTGGCCCCTGCCGCCGCCTTCAGTGCCTGCACCGCGCTCGCTCCCGGTCTGAAATGGCGGGGGCCGGGAGTACTGGCCGAGCAGCCGCCGCCGCCGCCACCGCGCCGCCGCGCCTCTGCCGCCGCGGCCGCCGCCTAGGGAAATCGAGCTCCGAGCGCACCGATGGGTTCGGGCGGGCGGCCGCAGAGGGCAGAGCTAGCGACTCGCTCGGCGCTCGATTCCTCTCCGAGGGCGTGCGGGAGGGAGCGGCTGAGGGCGGTGTGGGAAGAGGGAAGAGTGAGCGGGGCGGGGGAAGGCGGGGGCCGGGCGGCGGGGGGCGGGGCGGGGGTCTCTGCTGGACGCAACGGCGGCCCGCCCCCGGCTCTCGCCGCAGAGCCCAACCCGCAGCCGCAGATTCTACCGGCCGGCGTGCGGTCGGCCCCACGCACAGCAGCGAGGCGCGCCGAGCGAGCCGCCGCACCCCTATCGGGTCTTCCCGGGAAGCTGCGAAAATCCCGCCGTCCCTCGGGATCTGCCTCCACTTGTTCACACTCCGTACTACCGGCGGTTGCCTGTAAATGAGCAGGCAGTCGCCGGACGTGGGAGCAGAGCGGCTGACGCCCCCGCCCGGGCTGCTGATCCCGCTGGGCCGAACCGGCCTCAACTCCCGAGAACCGAGCCCCAGGCCCGAGCGCCTGGAAGCGCTCGTCGCCCACCTTAGGGGGAGGGCTGTGATGTTTTGTTGTTTCCTTGCTTGTTGTGAAGCCATCACAGGTCACTCTAAACGGGACCTCAGCTGTACCTATTGCCCCTGCCGGCACAATCAGAAGGCAAATTATTTTTAAGTAGAAATGCTCTTGATAGTTTGGACCTGAGGAGAATCATTCAAACATTAATCAGAAGATTGAGATTAATCAGTTAACGTTCAGGGAGTTAACACGTTGAACAATGGGACGCTTAAACCTGCTACATACCCAGAATCTGCGTCGGTAAACTACCTAGAAAGGTAAATGGTCCACATCATAAAACAATTATTTTAAATCCCAACTATTAGGACTGTTAATCTAGGCCTTATACCAAGTGTCACCCATTCTTTCCACTCCCGTGGGCTGTAATCGGCAATTGGTACCAGGTGGCAGAGGCGGAAGGGAGGAAGTGGGACGCACGTCCACTATAAATCCCCAAAGCTTCCTCCGGACACCTGCTTACAAATCTCTGTTCAAAAGTGGTCTAAGGAGTTCTTCCCAAAAGATCATCTATGATATTCGATCTCTCCCTCATCCCCCCAAATCTCTCTCTCTCTCTCTCTTCCTGCTTTTTCTCCGAAGCAGTTATCACCTTCTAATTAATATACGATATAACTTATTTTGTTTTCTTGTTTCTCCCACCAGAAATAAGCTCCATGAGGGCAGGCTCGCTCTTTCTCTCTCTCTCTCTCTCTCTCTCTTTCTTTCTTTCTTTCTTTCTTTCTTTCTTTCTTTCTTTCTCTCTTTCTTTCTTTCTTTCTCTCTTTTCTTTCTTTCTTTTTCTCTCTTTCTTCTTTCTCTTCTTTCTTTCTTTCTTTTTCTTTCTCTCTCTCTTTCTTTCTCTCTCTCTCTCTTTCTTTCTTTCTCTCTCTCTCTCTCTCTCTCTTTCTTTCTTTCTTTCTTTCTTTCTTTCTTTCTTTCTTTCTTTCTTTCATCTTTTTCATACTGCTGTATTTCCAGTGCCTACAATACTGTCAGCAACTCAATACTCATTTAAGGAATGTTGAATGAAGTCATGTGTCCTTCTAAAATCTGTGACTCTAAATCTGTACTTCGACTAAATGCCTTAAACTCTCTGTAATCTCTGTTCTCACCTTCTTACAAAATCTGCTTTTAAAGTCACCCAGGTCACCTGATAAACCACAAACCAGACTCTAGAAAAGAGTCTGCACATAACGAACACAATGAGTTTTTGTAAAGTGAATGAATTTGCACTTATTTGTATGTTGCTTTGTAGTCACTTAAATATGAATCGCTGATTTTGTCCAACTTCAAGTACATGATGAGCTCTTGTCTTCTCTGATAGCTGTTAATACAATGTTCTCCCTGTAGTTGGTGCTCCAGAAATCTTAAAAGGACAAATACAGAGAGGGGAAAGCTTTTTATTGCTCTTTTATGCTGATTATGAAGATTCTGGCGTTAGCAGAAACATAATCCACTTATATGGTCTCAGTTATCATCTAGGCTCATGATTCCCAAAGCAAATCTGAACTCCACTATCTGTTCTAGGCACCATATTACTCCAGCTTCACCCCACACGCTTTATCTCTCCTTCCTTTCACTGTTCACATATGCTATGTCAAGCCTTTCCACCGGTCAGTCCTGGCTTCCTCAGAAGCCAGCCGCCTCCCTAACACTTTCTTTAGCCAGGGCTTAGAGCAGTGGATCTCAAAGGTAAGCACTTCATGAAGCACTTGACTTACTTACAGAAATGCACATTCCTAGGCCCCTCGCCCAAATATCCCATTCAGTTGGTCTAAGGTGAACCAGAAATCTTCATTTTTATCAAATCGGGTGATCTTAAACTGGTGGTTAGCAGTCTGTACATTGGAAAACTTTTATCTAGATACTTAAATTCCTCTCTCGGAAGCTACACTTTCTTCTTTTAGGGGGTTTCTCTTCCCTCCAGCCTGGTGGCTGCATTGAACAGTCTTCTCTTTCTTTGTTCTCCCCAAGGACAAGCACACAATCCTATAGTGTGATCATGATGGGAAAAGAGAGAGAGGGGTCACAAAAAGTATGAACCTGGGGATTCTAGGCTTGCTCTAAGATGTAACTGTCCTTCTACTCTCTACTGTTACATTCTTCTGAGAAGGCAGCTACATACACAGGTGCACAAGCCCACATTCTTTTGATCTTGCTTTATGAAGATCATACCCTTTCCTTCATAAAATGCCCTATTTTGCAGATATAATCAAAGCAAACAACAGGAATACCCTTGTGTTATTTGGGCTCTTACAACATATCAAATGTCAGGACATGTTCACAGCACTGCAAATTCTGAGTGTTTCTTTTAAGGAAATAAAGAAACTTCAGAATGCCCTATCAATCAGCCAGAACTACTGCTCATTCCAAGAGTCAACAACAGATCCAGCAACAGGCTGGTGTGCCTTGCACATCCCCTCATTAACAATAGGTATTGCCCATACTAGAGTAATTTTGCCATTGTCCCGAATCAGCATCTGTCTGCTTCTTTTTCATATTGGTCTCAGCTTCTGCTACCTCTGCTTCTAGTGACTGCTCTCTATGGCTTACATTTAAAGCTTCCCCAGAGAGAGGATCTGAATGCATTTGTCATTTACTATTCAATAAGAAGGGCCTTTATAGGACACAGTTTTCCTGATGGGCCACCTACTTGGTGGTCAGCCTGGTTTATGCCTGGTTTAGAGATCATTGCCTTTGGGTTCTATAGGGGAACTCACTTCAGAGATTTCATGTGGCTCCAGCAGTAAAGGCATCTGGGAAATGTTGGACTCTCTGTTTAACTTTCTGTGACTGTTTAACTCTCTGTAGCCTCAGGTTTGGCTGACTATCCAGAAAGCCGGAATGCTGCCCAAAGATAAATGTCAGGCCCCAGGAAGGAGGTTAATGAATGTATAGAGTGCGGACAACTGCGTGATGTTATCTGTTAACTCAGAAATGCATTGTTCTTTCTGGTGGTCTACATGACTACCCACCATGTGCTTTTACTATTAATCCCTATAAAAAAAGAGACCCTGTCTCAATAGGGGTGTGGATTTTTCTGGGCCAACCACCACTGGGAGCAAGCTGCTGCTTTGCCCATGCACATAAGTTTCTTCTATTAAAGCTTTTATGTACTTGAATAAGGCTACATGTCAGTTCTTTAGAATCAATCCTGAATTTAGACTTTCGGAGTTTCCCCCCAACAGGTGCCATCCTGAGTTCAGACAGTGGTGGCCAAAGTGGCAAGACACAGCCAGGGAGAGCTAAGCAAGAGGAGCCACCTCTGGATAATTTCATGGACTCTTTGTCAACAGTCTCAGGTGGGAAATTCTTACTGCTAAATAGGTGCTACTTAATTTCACTTACCCAGCACATATCTTCTCTGTACTCTTGTTTCATTACACTTTGTATTCTCTTCTTGCATATCTGTTTTCCCTAGTAGACTGCTAATTTCTCAAAGTCCATGCTGATTTTAACTCTATATCTCATAGCTCTTAGCGCAGAGTAGGGCCTCTATAAGTATTTGTTGAAGTGAATGAAATCATAACAAAGCTTCAGCCCAGTCTCTACATAGTCACTTCATTCTCATCTAGCCAATTTCCTAGATCATTTCTAAATGAATATCCTGTTATCTTCTCAAATGCTTGTCTAAAATCAAATCCCCCTTCCTAATCCTCCCAAACTAATACCCTCTCCCAAGTTTTTCATCTTGCCTGAGGGGCATTTCAGTCTTTTGAGACTTTATATTCGAAACTTCAATTTATTTATTTTTTTAATCCTCACCCAAGGATATTTTTCCATTTATCTCCAGACAGAGTGGGAGGGAGGGAGAGAAAGAGAGAGAAACATCAATGTGAGAGAGACACATGACCCTGACCAGTGCCAGGCACCAAACTGATACCGACGTGTGTACCCTTGACTGTAATCGAACCTGCGACTCTTTGGTCCTTGGGCTGACGCTCTACTACTGAGCCAAACCAGCCAGGGTGAAAACATAAATTAATTTTTAAGCCACTCTGCATTCAAATTGATTACAGCCCCCTTTAATTATAGTTCCTGAGCACTTTCTCATATCTGCCTCTTCCACATTCTCTTCTTCACACCTACACTTCTGGAAGAGCTTCCTCAAGACTCTCCTACCTCTTGGCTTTCTTCTTTTCAATTCAGGCCACACGCTGTTGCCAAGTTAATCTTTCCTACATGCGACTTGCATCATCATCAAACATTTCCTCCGTACCTACTCCACAGAGGCTCTATGCATACAGATTATATATTTAAAAGTGCAAAGAGTTACCGGCTAAGTACTAACAGGTACTTAAAGATGAGGATAAATACCTTAGAAATTCAAGTGTGGTATGATCCCTGGTTTCAGCTAAGCCTTCACTAAGTGTGATTCTTGCTTACAAATATTTAACAACTCTTCATAT